TTTTCCCATTGCGATTTCGACGTATCATCGCCGCGAGTGGCATGCAGACAACGCGTGCAACATGCATCGCGCGCGCGACCTGCGTGCCCACTGGTGTTCCACATGTGTTCGTAATTCTACGGCCATGAATTGGCGCCCGAGAGCGACATTGCATGCTGGGTTTCGCTTAGTGGTTTTCGCCTTAACATCGCCACAACCATCGCGCACATTGTGCCCCGCCCCCGCCGCCCACCAACAGGGTGGCGGAGATGTGGCCGCATCTTCACCGTCTTGAGGACACAGCACCCAGCTTCGATGACCAACCCGAGTATGTATTCAGCCAGTTTGGCTAAACATGTCTTGCCATCTCATATATTTGCAGTCTAGCTGGGTGGTCGCAGCTCCGGCCGCTGATTCGCTCGCGGGTTTCAGAAGTTGTTCCTTCTTAGACCCAGCTAGATTTTTCAGAGCGGCTGATTTTAATCGGCTTGGGAAAGGTGTTACTCCAAGCGCTCAAACAGGTTTGGCCAGCTTTGCTCGGTTACCGTAGATACGGACGGGCGGGGATGTGCTCGCGAGCTCCCTGCCGCAGCGCTCCCCCCGCTCGTCCTGAGTACAAGGTTCCGATGCCCGCGCGCGAGGGAATAGTTTGATCCTTATGGATTCGAAATGGGTAAAGGTACTACTCGCCCGGCATCGGGCTATTTTTTTGGCATGGTAAACAATTTCGCGGACGATGAAAATCCCGTCGTTCTGCCTGAATTTTTAATCGGTTTGGTCCAGGCATGGTGGTTTCGGCTGCTGTTCCGCTCGTGAGTCGGCGAACGGAACCATTTTGACCGTGCGACCTGGCTAAGGTGCTCCGAAAGTATGAGGTTGAACCGCCTGCGAATTTCTATCCCGACCACTAAAAATTTAGCCAGCGGCCGCCGCGAGAAGTCGCATTTGCTAAAAATTTAGCTTCTTCGGCTTAGTTGTTACCGCTCAGGGTATTTTTTGGGCTGTCGGGGTATTTTTTTTCGAAACTGGTAAATTTACTCGATTCGGACAAATTTACTCCGACCGCGAAAAAATTAGTCGGCGACCGGTAAAAATTTAGTCGTTTTGGGTAAATATCTACCTGGTGTTGCCCAATTTTTTAGCGAACGGGGTAATTTTTTCACAGAAGAGTAAATTTAGTCGTTTCGAAAAAGTCGGTCCGAGGAAGAGGAGGGCGAAACATTTACTCTTTACTCCAACAGCCAAAAATTTAGTCGGTGCGCATTCAGGGAGAATGCGCTTCAGTTCGTGAGCGAAGCGCAATCCGAACCATTGGGATTATCACCATTTGGTTCCAAACATGTCTTGGAAGGGGTAAACTTTTAGCCAATATGGTAAATTTTAATCAGAATTGGTAAATATTTAGTCAAGGTGGCTAAAAGGTGAGTCCCGAAATCAAGACGCGGTAATTTCTCAGCCATCGTTTTGGGGTGGGCTGTGGGATGGGATGTAATCTGCGCGTGCTTGGTGGTGGTGGCTGTGGTGGCTGTGTTGGTGTAGTGGTGGTGGTGGTGGACGTGGTGGTGTTTGTGACGGTGCCGGCTGTGGTGGCGGTCGTAGTGTTGTTCGTGGTTGCGATATGTGCGCGTGTCTGCGTGTGTTTGTGGGTGGCTGGGTGGGCGGGAAGGTTGGCGGGCGGGCGGTTGGCTGAAGGGGGGGGGTGTCTGGTGGTAGAGGTGGTGGGCGGTCATGGGGTTGGGTGAGCGGGCGAGTGGATGGGCGGGTGAATGCGTGGGTCCGCGGGTGCGTGAGGGGGGATGGGCTGGGCGGGTGAGGTCGGCGCGCGCGCGCGCGTGCGCCTGTGGTCGAGGGGGGGGGAAGGGGGGGGGCAGCGGCGATGGGAGGGGGCGGCGGTGTGGGCGAGAGGCGGGGTGGGGAGGGGCGCGCGCGTGGACGGCGGTGGGGAGAAGGGGGGGGGGGCGGTGTGGTGATGATGGTGGTGGTGGTGGTGGTGATGTGTGTGTGTGCGTGCGTGTGTGTGTGTGTGTGTGTGTGTGTGTGTGTGTGAGTGCGCGCGTGTGCGTGCGCGTGTTTGTGCGCGCGTGCCTGCGTGTGCGCCGCGGGGCGGGGTGGGGCGGAGTGGGCTGCGTAATTTTCTGGTATAGCAAATATTGTTTGGGGGGTCGAGAGTGAGTGGGGATGGGGGGAAGGGGTGGAGGGCGCGGTGTTTTTTTCTTTGGTTGTTGTTGTTGTGGTTGTGGTTGTTGATGCTGGTGGCGTGGTGATTTGCGTTGCTGTTGGTATTCATGTGGCTGTGGTTGTGGTCGTGATTGTGCCTGTGGTGGTTCTGGTGGTGTGTGTGTGTGCGTGTGCGTGTGGTCGCGTGCGTGCGCGCGTGTGTGCGTGTAATGTGTTTGCATTCGTTGGGGTTGTTAGCTTACCTTGCGACATATACCGCTGCCAACAGCCATCCGCGCTTGGCAGCACGAGGCTGTTGACGCGGACGGGGGGCGGAGGCGGGATAATTCTGATGATATTGTCATTGTTATTGCGGGGCCAGGGGGGGAACGGAGGGGGGGCCATGGGTCGAAGTCGAGGATGGTGGCGATAGGCGGTGGTCGCGTGGGTGATTGTTTTTTTGCGCGGTTTAATGTGGTGTGCGCGTGCGTGTGCGATTTCTCGTCGGCTTTGTGCACTTGCGAAGGGGAGGGGGGGGGGGGGCAATATTGGGGCTCTTTGTTGAGTTCCTGGTGCCGTGCGGGCGTTGTCTCTGGCCATGCAAGATGCGCGACTGCCCTCCGCGTGTCTTGTTTGTGGGGCCACTGGAGCTTCGCGCGCGTAAGTTTAGGGCTCTTTTCGTGTGATGTTGGACCGTCTCGGGCACTTCTGCGGCCCCCCCCCCGGCCCTTGCTGGGCTCTCGTGCAGCGCCCCTGGGCCCATGCCGTGGTAATCTCGGGGGGCCGAGGGCGATTTCGAGGTGCCCAAAGACAGGGACGCGAAATCCGTTCGTGTATTTTCTCTCGTGGACAGCGTGGCGCTCTCTTGGGGTCATGTTCGGGCTCCTTGGGGTCAACTGAGGCCATGGCTCTTGTCGCGGCGACTCGCGGTCATTCTTCTGTCATGACGTGGCGATTGCAGTGGGGGCAAATAGACGACACCTCCTCCTCCTCCTCTTCCTCCTCCACTCCACCCCCCCCCTCCTCTTCCCGCCTCGCCTTTCGCTCATCCCCCCCCAATTCTACGCCCATCTTCCTGGTCGCCCCTCCTCTTTTCTGCTTCGTCCCCTCCTCCCCCTGTCCTTCCAGCCGTGTCGACGAGAGACAGAAAGAGATAGGGAAAGAGGCAGGGATAAAGAAACGCTTGCGCATATTATCCCAGAGCGACCCTACCTAGGAGTTGGAACCCCGAGGAAAGCAATATTAATAGTAGCGATAAACGCCGTCCACCTCCTTCTCCTGTCGCACATAGCTTTTGAGTTGCCTTTCCTTTGCTTTGTGTTTGTTGTTGCTGTGCTTTGCTTTGCGTTGTTTGTGCTTTGCTTTGCTGTTGCTGCTGTTGAGTTGCCGTTGCTTTGATGATATGATATGATATGCTATGATATGCTGCGCTATGTTATGACATGCTATGGTATGATATGTTATGATGTGATGTGATGCGATTTGCTGCGCTATGATATGCTATGATATACTAGGGTATGCTAGGCTGCGCTATGTTATGATATGCTATGTTATGCTATGCTGCGCGATGGTATGTTATGCTATGATATGCATCGCGCTAGGATATGTTATATTATGGTATGATGCGCTATGGTATGCTGTGCTATGTTATGCTATGAAATGCTATACTGCGCTATGATATGCTATGTCATGACATGCTATGCTGCGCTATGCTATGCTATGATATGGTGTGCTATGCTGCGATATGCTATGCTATGCTATGCTATGCGGCGCTACGACATGTTATGACTTGTGATGATATGATATGATATGATATGCTGCGCTGTGCTAAGCTAAGCTGTGATGTGATATGATATGCTATGCTATGCTATGCTGCGCTATGCCATGCTATGCTATGCTATGCTGCGCTATGCTATGCTGCGCTATGCTATGATATGCTATGCGATGCTATGCTATGCTTTGACGTATGCCACGTAGGTCGCACCCGCACGCCTTCCCAAACCAAGGCAGACCACAATTATGTCGCGGCCCCATGCCTTCCCAAACCAAGGAAGACCCAATTTAGGTCGCACCCCGCCCCCCCCCAAAAAAAACACCTTATCATGCATATCCAAAATTAGGTCACATCCGCATGCGTCCGCAACACTGGCAACGGTTGCGTCGGCGTTCTCGACGCCGACGCATCCGTTGCCATGTTCCCCATTTCAGTTTGTCTGACGTAACATGCCAATGCGTGACTGAACGTTTCCCCGCCCGTTGTCGGCACGCGCGATGGAAGCTTGCAGCTGTCGCAGTGCGCGGTGCTTGTGGAGAGAGTTGCAGAGTGAGGAGCGCTTGTCGTGTCATTACAAAACACGTGCAATGACTTTTGGGTATTTCACTTTTTTTTAGTCAACAGTTCAATTTCAGGGATTTCAATTCCGTAGTTAACCTTGTATTCAAATCATCCTCATGAACATCATCCCCATGAGCATCATTATCATCATCAGCAGCATCATCAGCATCATTAGCATCATCACCACCATCGTCATCATCATTACCATCAGCAGCAACCGCATCCACATCAGCATCAGCATCAGCAGCAGCAGCATCATCATCACTACTGTCAAAGTCAGCGACGACGACGGAGGTTCAGCATGCAAGACCATTTGAACACACCGAAGTGCACAAAAACACGCCGACCCTCAGTCAAAACCATGGATGCAAGGGACTCTAGCCAGGCAGCATCCTTGCCCCCCGCGCGCCAGGGAAGCCGAAAGCGTGCTCAGGATGGCCAGAACCGAAGGATGCCAGGTGCAATTGCGACAGGCACATCCTGAACGCCAGTTTTTACTTCACCACCATCACCACGAACCTTGGCACGCTAGAAAGGATGAGGTGGTTTGAGAGGGACCGCCAGCGTGCAACCGCCACTATTGGCACTCGAATTCAAAAAAATGTGGAGTCGCCACTGGGGCAACCGTAGCGTCACCAGGTCTGGCCGCTGTCGCTTCTGGCCTGACGGTGCAACCAGACTGCTGAAACCGTCTACCCGCAGTCAGGCTATCGCCTCTAGCCTAGTACGCCGACTTAGGGGGCATTGGCGGCGCTCAAGAGGGCAACAGGAGGGGGGCGGTCTTCAGAGAAAGCATACGGCTGATTAGAAGCTACCCTGGCTTCTGATCAGCCTCCATGACGACACCCGGGCCCTTGTAAGAAGGCGCCTGCCTTCTAAGAAGCCCCACGCCTCCTCAGCATGGTGGGCGTGAACTGGCGGAGCGACACAGTAAGCCAAAGTTCCCCACCGCATAAATCTTGCCAATCCCAGCGTGCGCCCTCGATCTCGGCCTCTAAAGCAAGTGTTATGATCGGTTCGTTGGGCTTGCGGTCCATTTCCTAAAATTTGGCCCCTGAAGGCCGTTCTCGGGCCCCCAGGCGACCACTTTGGACGCCCACAGCGGGCACGGACAAAAATGGCACGACGCCCAACAACAAACGCTGTCCAAAACCGACAGCGGCCGCTGTTGGGCAGGCGGCCTTCTGTCCCAAACGGACACGTCCGTTGTCCAGCATGGTCAGGATTTGCTGCTGGCCTTCATACCTATTCTGTCATGCCAGGCTCTTGCGACAGATGCAGATGATTGTAGCTTCTGCTAGAAAAGCTCCTGTGATCGACGATGTTCAGAAAGGGTCGTACGCGAGATAACACAGCGACCTTACGCCACAGCTTGCGCGGGCCGCCAGCCCGGCACGCTACATTGGAGACGAGGGCGCTTACGCGCGACCTTACGCGGGCAGCTTACGCGCGAAGGTCGATGAAGACGACCCCGTTTTTTGCGTCGCACATGTGCGGGTGTTGTCCCATCGGGCTCAGTCGTACAGCTTACTTACCTGGGGGTGATGGTTTCAGGCCCCTTGGCTTCCCCGTGGGAGTCTGGAGCTCTTGGATTTCTGCGGCGCCACTGCCTGGCGCCCCCGTTTTCTGCGGCGCCACTGTGTGGCGCCAAGCTGCAAGGGGCGAGCGTAGTGCCATGATAGGGGAAGCATTCATTTGCAAAGTATGGGATTCATGCATCATGCTAACGTAGTATGCCACGTATGTATATGTCTATACATGTATGTATCCCTCTCTCTCTCTGGACAGGGCTGATATGTTGGGCTTCCTTCGGTCTGTTGCTACGCTGGCTAGGCAGTCGTGTCGCGGACATTGCTTAGGGTCGTTCTCCAACTTGGCTTATGGGCCCATTTGGCCCAGCTCGGCGTCATACCTGTGTGCTCCATGGATGCACCATTCGCCAGGACATGATTGATCATTGTGCTGGTGTTGTGCTTTCTGTCGCCACAGCCATGCCAGAACGTTGCGCGCCGCATTATGCCAAAGAGTCTGCGGCCACCCTTGCCGACTCAGTCAAGTCTGGATTTCGCAACACACTGACTACCTACCAGACCACCCCAACCCAACCCGAAGACCCGAATTTGACCCGGATTTCGGGTTGGGGGGGTACGGGTTCCATGTGTTTTGTCAATGTTCCCCGACCCCCCCACTGAAAATGGAGGGAAAATTGAGGCCTTCGGGTTGGGTTGGGGTCGTTTGGTGGGTGGTGACATACAATATCATACGACCGGGTGGCACGTATCTCCTCCGCCGTGACGCTCGGCGCAGCGCTGCGCGCGAGCTGCTCGGCGGTTCGGCGGCAGCGCGGTGTCAGTTGGCGCCGACCCTGGTGTCGGCGCAGTGGCAGGCAGACCGAGGAGGCGGTCCAGGCTGGGCCCCAAGTTTCAGCAGCGGCTGAATCTGTTCAATTTTCGGGTGCTGCCACCTAGATCACTAGAAACGCACTGTTCGGGGCCCACGCTGGCTGACATCTCAAAGAGAGCACGCTTTACAAGCTGGAGTTGGATGTGGATTCGGATTTTGACGCGTTGCTGGCGGATTCAAACGAAACTCCGAATGGATATGTTGGCCCAGCTCGGACTGCCGCCCAGCGCGCTTGGAAGTCTCGGTTGCTCGAAGGCATGGATGCTGGAGGCCGTTCCTTGCGCCAGCATCTGGACTCCAGAGCAGGAGCCGTGCAGACACACCATTACCCTGTCTGCTTGCGCGCCAGGTTATGACCGATCCCTGCTCGCTCTTATGTTCAGCAGCCGGCAGCCTTCCAGATGCTGGAAAGTATGCAGGAATTGCCAGACCAGAACCTCATCAACTACCAGGAAGCTTTGGGCCAGCAGTTCCTCCCGACGCCCCCGGACAAGGTAGGCCTCGACAGCGTGCAGCCGGTCTCTGGCAGTTGAGATCGATGGGCTCTGTCCAGGCACGCCGCCTCTGAACCACTCCTCCCCGCGACCCCCCCCCGTCTGCCGCACCTCCTTGACCCCCGGCTCGAGGCTCTCGAGCGCCGCCGGCTCAGGTGGCACTGGGCGCGCCCTCGCCGCCGCGCGCCGCCTCGGCCTCGGGTCGGGTCGGGCATGTCTTCCCCTAGGCGGATTTGGGGCGCAAAATCCGCCGACTCTGTCGGCGTGTGTGAGGGGCTTGTCCGTTCGAGCCGTCGTCTCCATCACTCGTGAGTCGTCGTCTCCGTCGTTCCACTTCTCTGCGCCCCCCCTTTCCGTGGGCCCGTCGCCGCTCCCCCACTATCTCCCTGGGCCCTCCTCCTCCTCAAGCGCTGGGCCCGTCGCCGCTCCCCCCGTTCCCTAGGTCCTCCTCCTCAAGCACGCCAGCCAAAGCGAAATTGAGCAACGTTGCAATTGACTCGAGGGAAAGCCCTCCCTTTGATCACTCCCCCGCTGGGAGGGGTGGGGGTGTCCCTGGGGTGTTCCCAAGGGGTGTCCCGGGGGGTCTCCGGAGGTGGGTCCCGGGGGGGTCCCGGGCGGGGGAGTCCCGGGTGTCAGATGCGACTCCCCCCCCCAGGGGGGCCCTGGGCCCAAGCAATCCCCAAGACGGGCCAAGAGAAACAAAGCAAACTGACTCCCCATCCAAAGTGGGGGTTTTGCTTTCTCTGGACACCCCGCGCAGGAACAGGATGGAAGGAATGGACCCCCTCTCTTCTCATTCACACACAAACACACGTTCTTACACCATCATCGCCGCATCATCATCACTTACACTTTCGCACACCCACGCAATCACAACTACGACTCATCACTCATCACTCATCACTCATCACTCATCACTCATCACTCATCGTCATCGTCATCGTCATCGTCATCACCATCACCATCACCGTCACCATCATCATCATCATCATCATCATCATCATCATCATCATCATCATCATCATCATCATCATCATCATCATCATCATCATCATCATTACACAACACCATCGTCAACAGAGCTTCGTCTGTGAGTGAATTGCGAGGAAGTCTCAAGCGGGAACCCCGTCCCTATGGGACCCGCCGCTCACGTTTCCAATATGAATGGGTCATCGGCCTCCTGTAACCGTCGTCACATTTGGGCCCCTGAAGCTTGAATGTGGAAAAAATATCCGGCGGGAGCCTCGTCTGTGAATGAATTGCGAGGAAGTCTCAGGCGGGAGCCCCCTCCCTATGGGGCCGGCCGCACATGTTCTAAATCCGAGGCGGGTCATCGGCCCCCTGTAATTGTCTTCACTTTTGAGACCCTGAAAACTGAATATGCAGGAAAAAAATATCAGGCGGGGGCCTCGTCTGTGAGTGACTTGCGAGGAACCCTAAAGCGGGAACCCCTTCTCCACGGGGTTCGCCGTCATGTTTGTAATCCGGGTAGGTCAACGGCCCTCTGTAACAGTCGTCACTTTTGAGAACCTGAAACCTGAAACTGGAAAAAATATCAAGCGGAGGCCTCGTCTGTGAGTGAATTCCCCATGGGGCCCACAGCTCATGTTTTTTCCCTATCCGAAGCGGGCCATTGGAATCCTGTATCCGTCGTCACTTTTGTGCTCCTGAAGCTTGAGTATGAAGGCAGTATCGGGCGGGGGCCGGGTCTGTGAGAGAATTGCGCAAAACACTCAGGCGGGAACCCCCTCCGTATGGGGCCCGCCGCTCACATTTTTCATCCGAGGCGGGTCATCGGCCTCCTGTAACTGGCGTCTTTTTTTGAAACCCTGAAACCTGAATATGGAGGGAGTATCAGGCGGCAACCTCGTCTGAAAACTAGGAAATCTGAAGCGGGAACCCTCTCCATGTGGGGCCCGCCGCTCATATTTCTTAATCCGAGCGGGTCATCGGGGTTCACCATGACGCACGCGTCGTACCTCACCTCCTCGCTGTCGCAGGGACAGACGCGGCGCAAGGGCGTCACCGTCGAGTGCGCGAGGGGCGAAGACAGTGGTCGCACGGGCATGTCGGACGAACAGTGGCGGAGCTACCTATACGTCATGCTCTCCCGCGCCACGCGCATGCAGAATATGCTGATCTTGCGGCCGCCGCCGCGAGAGTTCCTGGAGCGAGGGCGGCATCCTTGCTGAAGGCGCTTCTGGAGTCCGACGTCAGAACAAAGAGCTCCAGGGCAGAGACGGTGCAGCACGCGGCAGAGCTGGGTTTCGTGCTGCCCCCCGCCTGAGCGCGGCGGCGCCCCGCTCGGAGTCCGCGGGGTTGTCCCAACGGCTTGGTATCGCGCGCCAGCGGCTCGCGGGGTTGCCCCGACGCCTGGCCCGCGGGGGTGTCCCCGACGGCTGCGCGACTTTACCGTCGGAAAACGCGCCCCTGCCACGCGTGGCGGCGAGGCGCCGAGGAAAATCTACGCCCGAGCCCCTGCCAGGAGGAAGGAAACGTGCAGGCAGGGAACGAACGGGGCGGCGATGAGGAGGGAGGAACGGAGGGGGAGGTGGAGGAGGGGAAGCCAAAGGCCGAGGAGGAGGAGGAGGAACATGAGGAGGAGAAGGAGGAAGTGGAGGAGGCGGGGGAGGAGGAGGGGGAGGGGGAGGAGGAGGAGGAGGAGGAGGAGGAGAAGGAGGAGGAGGAGGAGGCGGAAGAGGAAGAGGATGATACATGCAAAGGGTAAGACCAAAAGGAACAGGAGGAGGAAAATGAGGATAATGAGGAGGAGGAGGAGGAGGAGGACGGAGAGGGCGGAAGGAAGCTTCCGCCAGACGAAAAAGAACAAGGCGAGGGGCAAGTTAAATCGATTCTCGTATGGGGTCCTACCGTCGGAGTTATTTCCCACTGTTGTTGCCCAAGCAGTTCGGCGTTCTCGCCTCTTCCGCTTCCCGACGCTCCGAGACGGCGCAAGAGGCACTTCAGATCGCCCCAAGTCGGCCCAAGAGAGCTCCGGGCCCCAAGACGGCCCAAGAAGTTTGAAGGGGGCCGGTCGGCCCGACCAGAAGCTTCGCCTTAGGCGAAGCACAGCTCCAGCCCTGTTGTACCGTCGTAACGATAGGCCTAATACTAGGTCGTCGCAGGAGCGACGGGCCATCTCAAACGAAGGATGTTTTCGGTCTCGACGGCGAATCGTATACCTCGCACTGAGGTCTGGTCAGATATAGGCGGCCGGCCGCTTGAGCACACACGGCCGCGGACAAACGCTCGTCACCTCTCGCCCTTGTCCCAGCTCACTTTAGAGTCGGGGGCGAAGGGGACGAAGCGTGAGTCCGCCACCACTATACAGCACACACAGCAGATGCCATGCACAAAAGCTAGCAAAAGGAGGGGGCGTAAGGAAAGCGGACCCGCAAGCAAGTTGCCTTGCAAACACATTGCTGTGCATGTGATTACTCCTCAGGCGGCCACAAACCAGGATGACTGGCCAGCCCGATAAGGAGTATGACGCTTCAAGTCATGCTTGAAGGATTGCGTACCTCCCATGACCTGTAGGAGCATATCTCTGTTAATGCTCCCCTTTGTGTGACCATCCGCGGTCATGTCGCGAGCGTCACACCACTGAATGTTATGCACGATTCCTCGCTCCATCATCTATCGAACCCAATTTATGTGTCCTAGAAGGTGCACGCAGTCGGCTTCTGCAGGTCTTTGCTTGACAAGGACTTGACAACATATTCAGCATCTATGGCCAAGGTGACCTTGATGCTCAGGCCACCCAACTCTAGTACGTCTTTCAACACTGAATGTGGGTCAAAGGACCTGCATGGAGCTCCTGCAGAGTCACGATCGTGGGATAGCAGTCCCCCAAGTTGTGGGCTGCTGCAAGTGTCTCTGCTGAATAGCTTGAGCGGCCCTGCAAGCGGCGAGACTTGCTGCGCGCATCGATCAAGTGGGCGACAGGCTTACCGGATGGCGTGGTTCCACGCCGTAGCAGGTTTGCTCCGCGAATACCATAGCCATTGACTTCGCCATCGGCATCTCCACTCAGGCGTCGATAGCTGGAGTCGAGGTGCAGGTCAACTTCGCCCGTTGGAGTCATCGGTTGATCGACGATCTTCTTAGGGCAGGCCTGCAACTTCCCGGTGGTCGCGTTCAGTCGTCGCACTTGTATATTGGTCGGTTCTTGGGCACGTTGTAGAAAGACCGCATATACCATCAAACGCACGCGGGTGGTTAATGCGCAAGCGAATGCGCCTCTGAGGCTGCCGAACATGTCTGCAAGCATCTTGGGTGCCTTGGCGTCAGCGCCGGCGCCGGTGAGTTCAGGATGCTGTGTGGGGCGGAGTTGTTTGATGTATTCATATTGGTCCAATGCGACATTGCCGCCCCCATCCTCGGTGCACCTCGCAACGCACTTGGTATATGTATGTCTGTTGATTTTGCACTTGACACAAAATATCCTCGACGCACTTGACGCGCTTGTCAATGGTGTCCTCAGTGCTGGCCACTTCGATATCATGGACATGTTTGGCTTTGAGCAGGTTGCTGCTCGCCTCGAACTCCTCGTCGTAGGGCGTGGGTCTGAGACCAAAGCCTCTCGTGGTCCTTCTGAGCTTCAATGAGAATGCCCTGGGCGCATTCTCGGCGCCGGCGCCTGGCTCGAGGCACTGCAGGTAGTGCTTCGACTCGTCGCAGTGCTCGAATCCTGGGAGGGGTCGAAGTACCGTTGCCGATCCAGGCGGCAAGGTGAAGCACGCCGCGCGTTCCTTCTCACCAGTTGCCTCGGCAGGTTCCTGGTAGGTCAGTCCTCTCACGAAAGCCGCGTGGGCGTCAAGGGAAGCTGGCTCGGCCGCCGCGACCAGCGGCGCCAGAGAAGGCGGCGTCGCCATGCTTGCGAGCAATCGCTGGCTTGGCCGCCGTGCTGCCCCTGAACAGGTTTCCGCGTCAAAAGCTTCAAAGTACATGAAAACCCCGAATCACCCGACGAAATCTGATGGCGCGCTCCATCTCGCCCTTTCGTTCTTCGCGAACTTATATTTATATGCGCGCCTCGAAATCATAATGTTCGACGTTTTAGATACATCCTGCATCTTGGAACACTTGTTGTCAAACCGTGTCTTGAGTTCAGTCGATAAGGCCTTTGATACTTTCTCGGGATTCGCCTGGACGTCGGCATCCGCGAGGAGGTCGTCTCCCTTGACAACCGCAGCT